TTTTTTTTTTTTTTTCGTCAATCGCTTTCACCGTCCAAACGAGTGATGGAAAGTCCAAGAGCGTTGTGCGTTAGAAATTCATCTAAACCATCTTTATCTTTGAACGTAAGCTTCTAATTCTATTATTAACCGTCATTGTGAACAACATCATCATGAATTTTAAGTTATCTCATAAACACTGCATTCTTCGGTATTAACATTGAAAGTAGTATTATTTAATGGCACTTATCTTTAATGACGCATGTAATAAGACAAAAAATTATCATCGTTATGCATATGTCATGAGAATTAAAACGTAATGCATATATGACATGCGATAAAAAACAAGATGGAGTAATTGCGTAAGCTTTCATGTCATAAATCAGATCTTTGAATTGTAGAATAATATGGGGCGATAGAGTCTGACGTAATGCTTCACACACGAGGAATCGAAGCGGGTTTCATCGTGTTGATTGTCCGAAAACGCTTATGGCACGTATCAATATTAGATAACGAACATTTTGCGTTTTCATCTGACTGATGGCCTTGAATGAATATGATGTGACACACGGCGAAATGCGCAGCAATTCGTCAGCAAAAGAAAAAAAACCAATAAAATCCGCAATTAAGAACATTCAACATACAATCCTAACATATCTTCGAATTACACAATAATAAGTTTAAAAAATAATAACTCTTATCTCAAAAATTATCTCAAAGTTAATATGTTTGAGGTAAATATTAAAGTATTATGCAATAAGGTGTGAAAAATTTAACTAATTTGCTTCAGTAAATTTATATTTCTTTTAAAATTATGTAATTCTTGTTAGATTGCTAAATATTTAGTTTGTTGTCACTTTTCATTTTAGAGATAATAGAAATGAGTCAAATGAAAATGATAATTTCAAGTGCCTCATTCGGTGCAATGCGATACAAAGCCGCATAAGTACATTATTTGCAAGGACGCGATAATATGCTTACAATACAGCGGTGATTACACGAAAAGATTTACCATGACATTGGCCTTTATTACGAAACGATATTTCCTGCACTCGTAACAGACGGTAATCAAGGCGTATCACTGTGTTGTTTATATTGTCTATAGACACTGTGATGTCGTAACAGGCAGTATCGCGATGCAATTGCAGCTAGTTTGCTTCCGTTCGTTAATTAAAAGTACGAGTGAGGTTTTTTTTCTTCATGCAAGCCTTATCACGTGCAGAAACTGAGAGTCAAATGAGAATCGCGCAATAATTAAGTAGAGGAATATACCGCTGGTAGAAATAAATAATATATTATTTATAAAATTGCTGATCATAGTAATTTAATCATGAAAATAAATTTCGATATAAGATTTGCAAATTTCGATGTAGATAAAGCGAAACGAAAAAGCGTAAAAATGAGCGTCAAAGTTCAAAGTCGTGCAAAGTCGTGCAAACCGATTAAAGTTATAAAGCAAAAGGCAAAATATTTGCATTTTATTTAGTAACTTGCTTTCTCATTGTGTGCGTGTATGTATAGAGTAATCATTTTTATTATTGCATATATATTTATAAAATTGTAAATCGAATTTTGATAATTCTATTAATTTTTCACGTTTTCTTCCTCTTTTTCAGCTTGTTTCGAGGATCCCTGAATTTCTACCGGCCGGTCTGCAAGCGTCGACGCTTCGCAAGCATTCCACGGTTACGCAGGACAACGCACAAGAGCTTTGCGCGGCTCGGCGCGATTTGTCGTGTCGTGGTCATGCCGCACAGTATGCGGCAAGTGTCGTGAGGAAGGGTTGGGGCTTCCTAGCTCGCTCACACCGATTCGCACCAACTCGTTCTGACTTACTCATAGCGATATTGCATGCGAGAGAGCCAGAGACGGAGAGCAATGACCCAGTAGACGCAATGCACGTGTGCCCGGTAGAAACCACGACGTGCGCCTCACGGCGGGGCATTGGACGCCACGTGCGGCACCCGTTGTTGGTGGGAGAAGGGCGAATGCGGGATCCGAAGATGTGCGCAGTGGGAAGGCACATGGGTGCGGGAGGTGCGAGGAAGGGAGCGATAAGAGCTCGATTCGCGCTCTCTCATCCGCTCGCTACATACATATACACACGAGCGGCGACGAAACGCTTCGCGCGATAGGAACCCCTCGTCGATACGCCCTCGTTGATTCGAATAATAGAAATGGCCCGTCAGGGTAAAACCCTGACAATTCGGCGTTGGGCGCATGTAAGCAAAATTGCGAATAATATACACTGTTCCTGAAACAGGTAGGGATCATAAATCAGAAATAATCCAAGTAATTTCCGGACTGAAATTTTGCGTGTTGCGAACAAAAATTTACGATTCTTTGAATATTAATATTGAATCGATAAGGTTTTTTTTTGATATCCTGGTTATTTTTTGCTTTAAACATGGGTACACAAAATTTGAGATGCTTGATAAAACTGTTCAGATCGTTCAGAGCACTAGCGGATCCTGATGTCGATAATAGGGGGGGTTTTGACCTGCTTTAATGCATTTTTTACCAAGATTCTTGAAACGGATCCAGCAAAATTGATTTTTTTTAACTTGGAAGGGGGGTAACCCCCCCCTCCCTCCCCAGGATCCGCTAGTGGTTCAGAGTAATATATTATATATTATATAGTATTTTAAATGTTTCTTTACTGATAAATTGTTTGGTCGATCAAAAGTCTACTTTTTCTCAACAATATACATATTAAAATAGAAATAATTATTTAGTATTTTATATATTAAATATATTCTGAGAAATGTAACGGCAAAAATTTTGGAAAAGAGTATGAGAATTCAAAATTCTCTTTCAAAATAGCTTTTTAAAGTAATATCATTAATGTAATAAAACAAAAATTTGTTCCATGTTCAATATCTAACAATATCAGTGTGCCGATTTTCTGAAATAGACGTAGTAATGAAATGTAGATATACAGATATTTATATTATTGTTTATTTGAAAGTCAAGTATTTTTACAGGTTGCAATGGCAAAAATTTACATAGACTAATATTCTGCGCATATAGATTACATGGATTACTTTATATCGTACACGTGCCTATGTATCACGGAGGGACCTTGACTTCGCGACACTAAGCGGGAAGATACGGCGAAAATTTGGCGATCAATACTTACGCAGAGAGCGGTCGAGCCCCAGCATCAGAAGCAAATTGAATTTACGGTAGGCTCGTTACATGCCTGCGGCAAAAGTCCGTATTTTTGTCATTCTGTAGTAGACGTGATTATTGATGAATATTGAGTTTTATTTAGAAAAATAGCAAAAATATTTCATGAATAATTATCAGTATTGTTAAAGAAAATATTACATATATGAGAAACATAGTAATCTTATTAAAGAATAGAAAATATATATAATTACACAATATTATTGATAAATTTTTTATTAGCAAGAATATTCATAAAATATGTCTTTATAATGCATCATCAATTTTTAAATATAGCTTATGAAAAAGACAAACATCGGATTTGAAAAAAAACTCTGTTAAGAATTCGCAAGAAACTCAAAACAGTTTTATTCAATTTCGGTGATGTTTACGATCAATTCTTTGACATAACATTTTTTTTACAGAGCCGAATTTGCAATATTCTGAAGCCGAAAGGCACTACCGGGCGCCGCTCCTGAAAGCGACACGTGCGTCGTTCTCTTCTTGCGATTCCCCCGAAACGTACAAACGGGGGTTGCGTTCAACAGAGAAGCTGCGCGTTCGTATTAGGAGAGTGGGGCAGAGCGAGGGGAGGCGTTGCTACGGCAAGAGAATAGAGAGGGAGATGGACCAGCTAAAACCGGAGATGGAGAAGGCGATGGCGGCGGCGGCGACAGTGGTGGCGAGGAGGAGAAGCGAAACAGGCAAATGAAAAGGAGAAGAGTGGGTAGGGGACTGAGGAGGGGGTCGGAACGAAAGAGCGAGCGGGTCTAAAGCGATGTCGTACCTTGACCAATCTCAACGCGACTTGTTTTAAGCTATGCCAGAGCGAGCGAGAGGCAGCGACCTTAGAAACGAGTTGCGCACCGAAACCGAAATCGCAAGCTGGAACGCAGACTCTTTCAAAGCACTTCTTTTCATCCCGATTATTAGGGGTATGCACCAATGAGGGGTTGACGGAACGATGTCTTCGCGATGGAACAGCAATCTTATCAGCCGGAAATAAGATGGTTTGTTTTCAGAAAGCGTTAAAATATTTATTCGCTGACTCGTGGACATTGCGATATCGATACGAATATTTAAATTAACCGTACTGATTTTAAAATTAACGATATTTGTACCGGCAAATAATTCGCTTGTGACAATTAAAAAAGAAAGATACCGGCGAAACAGTCTAATTACTGGAATTTGGCACAAAAGCATGCACGTGTGTAACTGATGAGTCTTTGCAAGATATCAAAGTGCCAAATTATGTATATAAGATTAAATAAAATTTTTTTCTGAATAAAGTAATGTCAGAAATAATCTGCAACTATCAGTTTTGTTTCTGTCATTATTTTATTCACAAACATTTTTATTTGACTTTTATCACAGAATTCCTACAACTGGTCTACAGCCTCATTTACATATAAAGCTGTAAAACTTTCCAACACATATATATTTGATCTAAAGTGATAACCTTAGATCAAAGATTTTGTGTTAAATTATATTTAATTAGATTTAATTATTATTTTATTTATTCTTATCTTTATTTTTAATTAAAGAAAGGATTTGGCAAGAATTTTATACTTTAATTTCAGTTATAATTTTTGATTAATTAACTTGCAAATAGCATTACAAACTTATAATATCACTGAAATATTTTCTAGTTTAATATTTAAATTTGCTATGATATCGTATCGCAACTCTCATCATTTTTGTGGGTATAATTTTTACAGAAACAAAGTTCATCAGCGAGTGCAGTTCAAATTCGAGACATCCGCGCACAGACTAGGATGCGGATAAGAGATTAATGCGTGAACGGATCGAAAGAATCTTTATTTAATGACGCCAAAGTAGAAAGTGGAAAGAAGGGTCAAATGCTGAGAGAAAGAAAAGGTCAACGACCCACCACGTGCAACAATGTATGCCGGCGGTTGCATTGCGCCCGTAGTGCATTACCCTTCAAGGCCGCGACGTCTCCACTAGGCAAGGGGCTTAGTAGCTTTCTCCACTTCGTCCGATTTCTCCTTGAAGATTGCGTAACATGCGTCACGTGTCGATGTCCGGAGAAACGCCCGAAAAGAATGCGACGCTCATTTTAATTCGTTGCATCTCTATCCGGAAACGGTAAGTTTTCCCGCATAACAAACTAATTGCACAGTTGACAGCCATGTATGTTTCCGGTGACTTTTAATCCTTTACATCACACTTAATGATTCCGACGGATACACGAGCTTGTTTTTTTCACGACAAGTTGAAAAATGCTTCGCGTTCTGAGAAATCTATTTCGGTTGCACTGAGATACATTTAATTCTATAGAATAAATTATTATTAAATATTTTTTATATAATAAACTTCAGCAAAATTTATTAAAAATATATTAATAATAAATTTTGCTAAATTAAAATGTTCTCTTGCAACAAACAACTGAAAGTTGTTATCTTCTATTGATTTCCACCCTTTTCTATTTCATACTCTTTACTTTAAGTCATTTTTTTAATTAAAAATATTTTACTCTATCAGAGTAACCGATATAAATAGATTTATTTATTCTAATTTTGCATTTTTTTAGATTTAAAACGAGATGAGCAATTGGAACTTACGGAACTATAGGAAAATATACAACTACTAACTATATCACGGTTCTTTATTATTATAGAAGGATGATGTAATTCACAGCCACGCGGTAATATCGTGTCCTATTTGAAGCAACTTTCTAAAGACAGAAGGGCGCGTGAATGAGGCGCGAAAGGGTCGAGGCACGATCGGATTTGAATGACGCAATATCTTACAAGTACAAGGCGGTTCAAGCCGTGAAGTGCGTTGCCCAACACGTGATGTTTCACGAGTCATTCACGACGTGACGATTTTCTCTCGGCGACGACCTAGAAACCATCAAAGATTTATCATCCATCCGTTCTCCGATGCATAGCTTGTTAAGAAGGTCGATGCCCTCCGCGTACGTATCTACAAAGTATTTGTACAGCGTATTTATTTTAAGATTAAAATTTTTTTATTTTTATTTTCAATGTTTTTTGTGTCTAAAAAATAAGCGGATATTCCAGATTAAAATTGAGAAAACAGAACGGTATAAATGCAGGAAATGTAGAGTAGATCTTGGGTCTGCCTTTTTTTAAGCTTTCTCCATTTTTTTCTTGATTTTTTGTACCTTTTTCTTTCTCTCTTCTTTCACACAAATCTCAGATATATTTTTATTTTATTCTAAATAAAGAATTAATCTCGGATTTTTTTTTAAATTAATAATTTAAAAATAGAAAAACAATATATGATCTTTTATATGTAATATTTTTTTTAAATAAGTTATAAAATTTTATTATTAAAAAGAAAAAATTAATAATGCTAGAATTAGTAAAATGCCTGCAATGTGCGAGCTCAGATCTCTGAGTTTACTAAATCCAAATGATTACGATTCAATTATCCTTGCCGAAAAATTATCGACTGTGTGCAAGAGATACCTCTGACATCTTTGATCTGCTTTTAGGTACTTGGTGATTACGATGTAAAGGTACAAAAGGATCCTGAAGTAGCGGCTAAGTTTCTATGTGGCAGCGCTTCGCCGCGGAATTACCGTATCGACGAAATTTGAGTTATTGCTTTTTATTTTAACCGCAATATTTCTGAGAGGGCATCAGCGTACAGCAACTCGACTGCACGAGCTCTCCGTAAAGCCGGTCGTCTGTAATAGTAAGTGTTTCGTCAGTGATACGCGCGATCGAGGGCCTTCTCTCCTTCCGCGCGATTGTTTTTCGGCGATCGCGATCCGTGTTTATCGCGGGAAAAACGATGTCAGGATACCGCAAAGTGAATTATTACGAACTGTGCAGATTGTGTACTAGCAGCGAAGGCAACAAGATGAATATATTCCGCGACGAAGGTCGCAGACGGCAATTGCAGACGAAAATACAGGCGTACCTGCCGATACAGGTAAGCGTTTTCGTTTGGCACATTGTCGCCAGACAATCTACAACGAATCCTTCCCTGATTTTGCTCGCTCGCCAATTCCGTTTGTCAATTCGATATTTCGCGATGAATGTAAAAGTATGTATGTACCAGAGAACGTCCAAAAAATATGTGAAAGGATATTTGGGAGATTTGCGTTGTTTGGGATGTGGTGCGAGAACAATTGGTCTGCTTACGAAATCACTTTTACGCGAGAATCCGCAAAAAAACAACAGAATAATGCAATTAACTTGCTACCGAATGATTTACACATTTCAACTTTGAAATCGTATGGGTTTATGTTCACAGGTTTTTGTTCAGAATGAATATACATTGTTAAATGTTATGTGTTTTTCATATATAGTAGGATTTTGCTTCTTTATTTACGCATTATGAAAAGACCAATTGAAATCTTAAAGCAGTATTTGAAATAATAAAGCAGTATTATGTTTTTATCTGTTGCTCATAAGCAATATAAGAGAGTTACCAAGTTCATGAGAGTAGAAAGATGAAACATGATCTTGCTTTTCTTGGAAAGTTAATAAGCAGAATCAAATCAACTGTCTTAGTGAAAATTGATCGAATATGAATTGCTGATGTAGCACATACAACCTTTGTAATGGTTTTTTTATCATGAGCAATGTAGCAACTTAATATTCTAATTAAATTATAAGGCAAATATAATAATTTTCTTTATTAATTTACTTTGTCAGCAATAGAAAAATTTGATTTTTTATATAGAAGTGATAAGCATAAACAGCATAATATAAATTATAGGTTATATATAGACTGGATATCACCTTTGCAAATTTTTCTTTAATGTAACTCGATCCCAAAAGAATATATAGTATTAATATAGCGTAAAATATTGTATATTAAAATAATTAAATTTTATTGTTTTTAAGATTACAATAAGTGCATACAATTTGATTGCATTTTTATTAACTTGAAGGTTTTGGAAGAGGACTCATTACCAAAAATTGTATGTCACGAGTGTGTCACGAAGCTGGAGAATTACATAGAATTTCGAGAAACTGTAGTTAATGCTGAGGGTATGTTGGAGTCCTATTTCACCTCACTGCGTTTCTCTGATGATTTTCTAAAAGAAGGGAAAGTTTACGTGAAGAATATTGAAAAAGAAAGACCATCGACACCAGAGGATGAGGTTTTAAAGTCAATGGAAAAGGTGCCAACAGCAGGAGGAGGCCAAATAATAAATAATGATCAACCAATACAGCATCAGCAACCTGTTGTAGTTAGCAATATAAATGCTTCTAATATACAAATCATCAGTGGAGTTCAAGCTAGAGTGCAGCAGTACAAATGTGCTATGCAGGTCTGTAAAAATAATTAACGTTTTTGATTTAAGTAATACTTTAATATTACATATAGTAAATTTTTGTATTAAACATGTTCTATATGTATTTCTCATAAATAGGATTGCATTTATTTCAAAAGTAATAAAATACTTTTTGTATTTAGATGCAACCGGGTGGTGTAGCAGCGGCTGTTGTAGAAGCTACGGCAGAAACTCATTACAGTTACCAACAACAGACATCTCAAGTATCGTCGCAACAATCAAATGAAGCGCAAAATCAAATCGGTGACACGCAAAACCAATCTCCTGCAATTCAACAACAAGTTCAGAACCAAATACAGAATCATAGTCAAATAAACCAGCAAGTACAATCCCAGAGGCCAATTTCTCAACAGTTGAACCAGCCAGCTCAATTATCTCAACAGCAGAATCAAAGCCAAGTTAATCAACAGGGACAGCCACAGATATCACAGCAGCTTCAACAATTGCAGAGACAACAACGTGAATTTGAGAAACATCAAAGACTTCAACAGCTTGAGAAACAACAAGTGCAAATTGTAACACAGCAAGAATTTGTAGTGAAGCAAGAGACACCGGTTGTACATCAAAACGACAATGTAGTTCTTAAGACTGAAACAGAGATGGAACCGAATCAACAAATTATACAGAAAATACAATCCGAGACTCAGAAAGATGATTCTCCTAATCCAGGTGTACAAACTTATACAACAATACAGGCAACGCCAGAAGTATTCCTAAATTTGGGTTTCAAAGAAACTCCATTGGCGACTACGACACTTCGAGATGACGGAAAAGAATTTAAGGAATTTGCAAAAACATCATCTGAGGATGGAATGTCTCGTAACTCAATCGAACAAATCAGAGAATTTCTGAGGATTAGATCAGGATCGGAACCAACCTCTCTGATCACTGTGAATCCTCAGGTACTTCAGCAGGCTACAAGAAACAACACTATCTGTCGCGATTGTGGTAAAAGCTTTCCTTCATTAAATCAAATGAGCAGTCACAATTGTAATGTTGAGACACTTATAAATGAACCACCCAACGAAGCTACAAGCAAAGAGGATGCTTTGCAAACGAATGTTAATTCATTTAGCTGTGACATTTGTAGTAAGCCGTTTAAACGGAAAGAACATCTCTTTCAACATAGAAAATTGCACACTGGTGAGCGGCCATACGTGTGCTCAACATGTGCAAAAGCTTTCAGTCGTAAGGAACATTTGGTTAGGCATTCTGTATCTCATACCGGACAAAAGATGCATGAATGTGAAATGTGTGGTAAAAGTTTCTCGCGCAAAGATAATCTCCATAAACATCGAAAAACGCATGGTGTGTCTGGCCCTTATATTTGCGAAACTTGTGGGAAGTCATTTGTTGTGAAACATTATTATGTGATGCATTTAACTACGCATGCAACAACTGTCCCGGACGGTATGAACTGTTCAGATCCATTGCCGTATAAATGCGACATATGCCACAAAGCATTCGCTGTCAAACAATATCTTAATACACATAAACTCAGACACAGATCAAAAAATAACAATAACTCTCAGAATAGTTTAAATGGACATCAACAGCAACAGTCGCAGCAAGCGGATACTACAAATAATGTTAATGTAGTGACGAATAATGCTGGGAATTTAAATAACAATAATGGACAATCTAGTAATGAATCGACTGTCGAAATGCAAAGCGTTATCGAACGCAATGAACAGGCTAATGGATCATTCGCCAACAGTCAGTATCATACTAATATACAAGAGTTTCAATGAGATAAGGGGAAGCGTGTCTATTATGTTCTCTTGCCAAATGGTAACAATCATAAAATCGTGGTTGTATAAGCAAGAGAAACTTTATGACGCGCTAAAATATTTTCTTATATGGTTTTGCTCTTTAATCGAACGGTTTTGTACTTTAATACTACAGGAATGAGAATCAAAGCGGCTATTCTGACAGATTAAATATTTTGGTGTATACACACATCGGGCAGAAGATAGATTTGTTGAATGGTTTAAGAGCTAGCTGGACACT